GTACTTTTTTTTTTTATCCTTTCTTGATTTTCCTGATTGCTTTTAAATTATTTCATTCTCTTCCTCTATTACCTGTTAATTACACTTTGTTTTACCATTCTTAGTGGTTACCCTAAAATTACAGAATGCACCCTTGTTATCAATCTAAGTTAGTACTTCTACCTCTTTCTACACAATCCAAGGGCCTTAGAACATTTATTTTTATTTCTTTTTTAAATTTCTTATTGTTTGAGAAAGAGAGACAGAGCATGAGTGGGGGAGGGGCAGAGAGAGAGGGAGACACAGTATCTGAAGCAGGCTCCAGACTCTGAGCTGTCAGCACAGAGCCCGATGCAGGGCTCGAACTCACGAACCATGAGATCATGACCTGAGCCGAAGTCAGACGCTTAACCAACTGAGCCGCCCAGGTGCCCCATGGCCCTTAGAACATTTTAAACCCATTTGTTCTCTTCCACTTACATGTAATTGTCATGTGTTTTGACGATATAGATTTTTATACTCTGTAAGACATTATCATTATTATTATTATTATTCTACACTCACATATTTATCTTTTGTTGTTCTTCACTTCTACCTGAACAACACTCTTCATTATTTCCTTAAGGTGAGAGACTACTGCTGATTGATTCTCTCAATTCTTGTCTAAAAATGGATTTTACCATTTCTTTCACTTTTATGCTCACCTACTAATATGAGAAGTTATTTCTGATAGAGAGCAAGATACTATTTATGAAAAATCAGAGAACTACTCGATGCCTCGGATACTGTATCTTTCTCAGAGAGAATTTAGTTTTGCTTCTGGTAAGCAACTAGAGGCACTAGCAAATCCACACCAACTTAATGCAGTCAGGAATCAGGCTCCAGCTACAACAGGCTATAACCTGTAATTCTTACTACTGTTGGGATGTGATCCTTCAGGTTTGACGGACTCTAATCTCCCAATTTTTATCACCCTACCCCCCATAAGCCCATCAAAACTCTATTAAATTTCTCAGCCAATTAGCTTCCTTTTCCAAAATAAACAGGTGTCCCTAGTGCAGAAATGGCTCAAGTGTTAGACTCCCCTCTCTGGGTTTTCTTCTCTCAGATTGTGATCCTATAATTCATTACACTTTTTTATTAGCTACCTTGTCCTTTTTTAAAATTTTAATCATTAGGAGGGTTGGTCCAAATGATCTAGTCTTACCAATCATTTATCTGCTGCTATACCTAATAGAGTACCTTATATACTTGGATGGAAGACACTAGCTACATCAAGTTTCCCACTAGGAACCCCCACAACAAATTAACTACCTCAGTTTTTTATACTAACCAAAAAATTGACTATGACTGAGAAAGGCAATAGGGAGTCGTTATTAAGGTTTTTGAACAAGAAAGTATGCCCATCATGTTAGTGTTTTTAGAAGATTATTCAGCCAAAAACAAAGAATATAGAAAATATAAACCAATTGGGAGAATACTGCAGACATGAGCCAATAATGACGTGGAGAAGGACAATAGCAATTAAAATGAAAGGGGGCAGAAGCCAGGGAAACCGAGAGAGTTCTATCAACCTTGACAATCACCTGGAAACAAGGGGTGAAGGAGAAAAAAAAGGAGTCAAAGATGAACATGAAATCTCAAGTCTGAGAGTGAAAATGATTTGGGTGAAGAGGAATTTAGATTTAGACATGAATATGAAGTAGCCACAAGAAGAAATCCAAGTTGAAACGTTCCACAGATATTTGGAGAACCTGGTCTGGGCCCTCACCAAGAGAACAGTGACTGCTAAGAGTATCAAAAGAATTTTCCACCACCAACCAGAATATCATTCACTAAACTAGTAAACCTGTTACCTATCTCCCTTCACTGGATATTAAAAAATTAGAACTGGAAATTCACATTTGAGGCTTTGGAGACATAGAAAAAGGAAAATAAATTAATAGAGAATTTACCACATTAAAGAAGAGAGGAGTTAAATGCAAGGGGGCAGAATGGTTTTAAAAAAAACCTAAGGCAGAGGGGGTAGGCACGGGAATGGGCTAAATGGGTGATAGGTATTAAGGAGGACACTTGTGATGAGCACTGGGTGTTATCTGTAAGTGGTGAATCACTGAATTCTACTCATGAAACTAGTATTACACTATATGTTAACTAACTGGAATATAAATAACAACTTTAGGGAAAAAAACCTAAGGCAAAACACACTGTCACAGTTCAAACAATCTAGCAGTAGGTAAAAAAAGTGCAGACATACATGCAGTGTAGTATAAGAGTAAGCACAATACTAAGTAGGCTTAGCTATTTAAGAGATTTTCGTAACTTATTAAACTTAGTAACAAAAAAGCTTTTTAAAGTAACTGAAGTGGTGGCAAAGTCATTTGCTTCCAAATTAAAAGAAATAGGATTTGTTTCTGTTTTATTTTTTAAAGAGTGAGCTCGAGCAGGGGAGAAGGACCAAGGGGGTGGAGAGAGAGAATCTTAAGCAGCCTCCACGCTCAGCGTGGAGCCGGACATGGAGCTCAAGCCGACGACCCTGGGATCATGACCTAAGCCAAAATCAAGAGTCGACGCTCAACCAACCGAGCCACCCAGGTGCCCTGATTTTTTTTTTTTTTTAAGAGTCAATATGTTAAACAATACAGTTATGTAGGAACAGTTAGGTTTAACAAATTAAAATCTTTTGAACTCTCTGAAAACAGTAATCTCCAGTTTTTAAGTCCATAACTGGGCAATATGGAACATTATTTCTACTAGAAAAACTTTATTCAACAAGCAGTAAATTATTTATTGGTAAACATTTGATATACATTGCATTCAATAGGTATTCAATGCTTAGTATGTATCAGATACTAGACTAGGTACTAACAACACAATAAAGACGGCTAGTATATATCAGATACTAAAAAGCCAGTAACAAAGAAGGCAGACATGTTCCTCTGCCCTCTCAGAAAATAATATTGGGGGCAGGGGGAGAAACAGGCATAGCTGAACAAGAAATTATAATACTCAAATGAACTACAATAATATACCAGGTGTTACAAAGGCACAGGTGAGGGGCCCCCAAACCCAGGCTTGGGGGAACAAGGTGTCAATGAAAGAAATGTTTCCCGAAACAAATGATGTCCAAGCTGCAGTCAAAGTAAGATCACACCGGCCAAAAAAATAAGAGGGCAAAGAAAAAGGAAGAATTTTCCAGGCTGTCAAGTTAACATGGCAAAAGCCAAGAAGAGAGTCCATAAACTCTTCAAGGAACTGAAGAAAGTTCAATAAACAGGAGCAGAGACATAACATATCAGGCTACAGAAATCAGCAGAGTCAGATAATAAAAAGTTTCCTAAGTCATATTAAAAAGTTTGAACTTCAATCAAACAGAAAAATGATACTCAGATTTATGCTTTAAAAACAGGCATTCTGCAATGAAGAATAAAGCAAGAGATGCAAAGACTAGAGGCAGAGTAACCAGTTAAGATGAGCGTTTCAGTGAAACTGGGGAGGATGGTAGCCTGGGCTGGTCGTGGCAAGCGAACAGAAGTGGACAGAAGCCAAGAGAGAAATCAGAAAGAAAGGAGATCTGGTAGTAAACCGGATGTGAGAAATAAGGGCAAGGGCAGAGTCAAGAATTAGTAAGCAAATAACTCAAAGCTATAATGCACAGATCTTGGGTTTCATCTGTAACTTACAATGCCTAGGTATTAAATTTATTTGTTAGGGGTGCCTGTGTGGCACAGTCAGTTAAGTGTCCTGCTCTTGTTTCAGCTCAGGTCGTGATCTCAGTTTGTGAGTTCAAGCCCCACATCGGGCTCCATGCTGACGGTGTGCCGCCTGCTTGGGAGTCTCTCTCTCTGCCCCTTGCTGCTCACTCTCTCTGCCTCTCTCTCAAAATAAATAAAACTTAAATTTTTTTAAAATATATATAATATATAAATTTTTTATATATTTTATTTTATATATATTTATATATTTTTTATATATTTTATAAATTTTATATATTTATTTTATATATATTTACATTTAAATATATAAAATATATATTTCAAATAAAACATGTATAACAAATATATATTTGTTAAATGAGTAAATATTTCATATTTGGTGGCAAAAAAATTAAGAAAACCATTTACACTCTAAGAACAGGAAAAGTATATATTTGGCCATGATAAACATAGCTCTGGCTCCAACCAAAGAATAAATAAACAAAAGCTACTTAGTGAAATAACTGTTTGCGGTAAACAAGGCCAAGACCCCAGACCAGAAGGCAAGCGAGGAACAATATCCAAGGCCAAAGCAGGCCCCAGCACTTGCTGGAAACTGTGGACATTTCAAAATTGTAGGAGCACTTCCCAAGTGTGGTGTGCGTCCTGGTCATCTACTGCTGAGTGACTTTTCTACAAGTCATATTACTTCTACACCAGAACTAAAATACGATCTAGCCCTGGCATAAAGATAGACCCTGACCTTCAAGCACTGGAAACTTTACTAAGGCAGGGAGAGGCGGGGATCAGAGGCCAAGTGCTTCCCTAAACAGAATACTTTCTGCACCTTGCCCTACCCAAATTTTATAGCTGGGATGATGGTCATCTATAGAGGATTTATCAACAAAATGTGACTTCACTTGTTTATATTAGGAAATATTAGAAACTAGCAGGCAACCACCAATCCTCAAAGATAATACCAAAAAATTTTCAGTTAAAAAATTAAAATATAACTACATTTATATTATAAAAATAATCAAATACTGAAGTTAGCAGAAATAATCAAGTTTTAAATAAAAGAAACACTGACATAATAAATGTAATCTGTTGAAGTCTGAAGTATATTCAATCTAAAAAATTCCACAACTTCTATCTAATTTTCTAACAGTTTAAAGGTTAGGTAATTTGGTCAATATTCACCTAGGAACTATTCATAAATTTATACCATAATCAAATTAACAAGCCTCCAAATATATATTATAGAGACTACTTCCAACCAGTCTGAAAATCCCAAGGAAGCAAAAATCAATACAATCAGTTCTTTACCTGCAGCTCCTTCGAGACTCTCTCTAGGTGATTAGTTATCTTTTTAATCAGATCACTGTACATCTGTTCTGAGTGCTGCTGGCAGACACATTTATACACACAACTGCGGGGTAAAACCAAAAGAGAAAAACCAAGTTAACAATGAAGATGAATGCATACTTTGGATATACAACCACTCATCAAATAATTAATTCAGGCCTAAAAACACTGACCAATCACAACTTTTAAGTAGAGATTTACTTTGCCCCAATCAGCTGCAAATCTTTCAGAATACTACATTATACATTTTGTCAGTACTAGATAATCTAGTATCAGGTGATAATCTGAGAGTGAGCTCCTTGCTCACTCTCTCTTGTTTCAATGAATGTCAAAATAAGGGGAAGAGAGTGATAATCAGCACCAAGTTTCTAACTCACAAAAGGTTTGCAATGTAATCTCTTTGTGCATCACTTGTATCAAACAACACAACTGTCACTTCCTCCTCTGTGACAGGGCTGATCTCATGTCCCACCCCCCGGCCCTCACTAATTTGCTGCTTCCATTTACCAGGACCTGGGAAACAAAATAACCAAAGACAGAATTGTTTGTCAATAAACATCAACAGATTAAGCTAGGGTCTCACAGTGAGACAAAAAATACATTATTCTGGTCGTTCATGTCTTTTTCACTGACCGTCAAAGTTTCTTCCTTATGTATAGTGGGGGTAGCGGGCTGAGGTGGGACGAAGTCTAATCTCTTTGAGGTTAACTCTACCTTGATTTAAAAGCCAATTCTGAAGCAGAAAGTATAAATCAAACCTCCAACCTCCAAGAGTGGAATATACAAATCACCTATGGAGCCTCAACATATGTATATTACATGCTGCTGAATGTACTGCCGTAATTCAAAGTGTCATGAACCTCAACAGACCCTCTCAAACTCAGGCAAATGAAATCTTGACTTACCTGTATATCTGTTCATAGGATATGGGGATATAGTCACCAGGACTCTGGGTTAAAAGCTGATCTATGGCACCATCCAATTTTGGCCAGTAAGTGCTCTTATAATCTTCAATAGTTATAACATTCATTACTAAAAGTAAAAAGTAAAATAAATTATTACTACATATCACAGGTAAGCACAAATCAAAGCAATACTGTGCTCTCAAATTCCTTTCACTTATTCTAATTTCTTTGACATTCAATCACCTACATACAACTCAATTACTATCCCATTTCAAAAACAAGGAAACAGCAACTTTGTCAGGGATTTTAAAGAAGCCATTAATTATGACTTAAAAGGAATGACCATGAAACTATCTTGAAAAATAAAAACAAAACAAGCAAGTATCTTTGGTTTCCTTTTCCAGTTTTCATATTTACCAGTGGAGCATTTTTCAAACACACACTCACCCTCAAATACACATTGCCAACGATGTGACAAGATGTCCTATCCACGAACCACAACAAATTTCTGGAAAATTATGAACCTCAACAATCAATCTTTAGAGACAGCCCTGAGATAATTCACCTAACATAGGACTATCCTCATATTATATTCCATTAAAGTCCAAATGCTACAGTAACGAAAGAGGTTGCTAGAAACTCGCAGGGATTTCTGGCACCACCAGCACTTCCTGGACATTACTAAGGCTCTGACTCAGACTCCACCAACTTACACTTGATAAGCCCAACAGAAGAACACTGAAGAACTGGAGACTTACACTGACGCTTACTCCATTCCTACTGTCTGGCTCTCATTCCTTCACTGAAGGTTTCATGAAGCTTTCATAACAGCTGGTCCTAACAACTTTGAAATGCAGCGTGACAGGGGCTTCACAACAATGAACCGCTAATGTTAAAAAGAGCTACTCTGCCCCCGCCCCCTGGAAAAAGGAACTATGCAAAGAACCTAAAATACCCTGCGTCTTAAAGAACCACCGCCATCTCAAGAGACAGAAGTGAACAACTACTACCTAAGGTATTTTACCAGAAACTGGGAAGCAAAGAGTTGACTTCCCTAAGCCTACATGGCTAATTACTGTCAGAAGTACCAGATAAAGAAAACTTTTACCTACTGATTTCCAAATTCAGGTTCAAGAGGTTTCTCCTATGTATGTACCACCTCTGTCATTGTTGCTCAGTATTTTATTTATTATCAGTTCACTTCTTCTTGCTTAAATTTATTCTTTTAAAAAATTTGTCATTTATTTATTTTGAGAGAGAGAGAGAGTGTGTGCACATGCATGAGCAGGGGAGGGGCAAGAAAATCCCAAGCAGGCTCCATGCTGATCCATGCGAAGCAAGGATAAATCCCATGACCCTGAGATCATGACCTGAGCTAAAATCAAGTTAGATGCCCAACTGACTGAGCCACTCAGACACCTCTCTTGCTTAAATTTATTCTAAAGGACACATTCATACAACATGGAATAATCTTAAATGCATTTCGCCAATTGAGACTCAGACCAAAATGGCTACTTATTATCAGATTCTCACTTATAGACATACTAAACTTTTTATAGACTATAAAAAGGAAAACAGCCTGGTGATTGCCAGAGGCCTGAAGGTAGGGAGGACTGTCTACACAGGGTAGCACGGGAGAACACACTATTTTGTGTAGAACCATCTGGGTGGATACACCACTCCAGCCATTTGTCAAAACCAACAGAAATGTGTACCACAATAAGTAAGTTTACTGTATGAAAATTTAAAAAACAAAACAAAAATCAAGCAGGATGTAGTAGTAAAGATGGAATGAAAATCTCAACAAATGAATTCCTGCACTGAAGGTAATAGAGAAGAAAGAAAAGTTTTGACTACGCAGAAGGCTAAAACCAAAAGGAATTGTGTACGTGCAAACACACACACACACACACGCAGAACGATGGAGGAAACCAGATCACAGAGGGCCTTAGAGGCCATTTTAAAGACTGGCTTGTACTCTGAGTAAGACGGGACATCTGGAGGGCCTGGGATGAGAAGTGCTGTACTCTGACTTGGAGGCGTGAGACCCTGGAGGTTGAACCAGGTGGTAGCAGTGAGGGTGAGAGAGGTCAGATTTTGAACATATTTTAAAAACTGAGCTGACCAGATTTGCTGATGGTTTGGATGTCAGATGTGACAGAGGGTCAAGAATGACTCCAAAGTTTTTGGCCTGAGCACCAAAGGATGGGGCTGCTATTTACCAGGATGAGGATGTAAGAGAAACTCAGCATGTTTGAGGACACAGCAGAAATTGTTGGTGCCCCACCCATTTATTCTGTCCACAAACACAAAGGCCACTGTCAACAACCTACCAAAAGTGATTCTCTCTTCTATATGGTTCTAGTTTACTGAATCTCCTAGGTCACCTAAACCAGGTCACATACCCACTCTACACCAAAAGTTGAGACTTAAAGATTCTAAGTGACATGCTCAGAAAAAAACTTCAAGTACAGAAGCCAAGAATGAATGTAATCATCCATGGGCATCCCGATTACTGAGTTCAATGATCTCCACCTCTGCCTGCAGCTGGCAAGCGCTCCTACTTCTCAAGCACAGGCTTTACACGTCAGCAAATTACCAAGTCAAAGATACAGAGGAAGAAAGAGAATCTAAAATGTAAAGTCCTGCAGCTGTAAGTACAGAATGGAGTCCCGCTACAGAAGCAGTAATTGCTGATGCCTCTCAGTTATCTTTCATGTGGCCATTTTTTTATGTTCTGCTTTTAAGTATCTTTGAAAAGAGACTTTAAAACCAAAATGAAAAAGGCATGATCACAGTACATAATCTTAAAGCCTATTTCCACATCAAAAAAACCCCGTATCTATTTCCATTTTGCATTTCCATATATAAATATAACATATATCTATTTCTATATATATTTTGCTTGAAAAAGAAATAAGTAAGTAGCCAATTCAGCTGACCTTAATTAAATGCTGGCTGTTACAGACTGAATATGTGGGTTTCTTCCCCCAAAATTCGTACGGTGAAATCTTCACCTCCAATGTGATGGTGCTGGGTGGGGCCTCTGGGAGGTAATTACATCATGGGAATGAGGCCCTCACAAATGGAATTAGCACCCCCAGAGACGTTCCTTACTCCTTATGCAATATAAGTCGCCAGCCGGACGACAGTCTACTATGAACCACCAGGAAGTGGGCCCTTGTCAGGATGAATCTGCCAGCACCTTCATCTTGGACTTCCCAGCCTCCAGAACTGTGAGAAGTAAGTTTCTGTGATTTATAAGCTATAAATCTGATATTGTTAGAATAGCTGAACAGACTAAGACACTAGCTAACATCACTTTCTTCTAGGAAACCAACCTTCACCATGGTAGCAAAGGAACAGAATACAAATAAGCATCAAGAGAACTAGGGGTAGTATGAAGAATGAGCACTCATTGGTATAAACTCTTAGCCAAAGATTAGGAAGGTTTTTCATACCAATGCGTGGTCAACACTTAAAATGACAATACAAGAAACTTTAAAGTTTTGTTATTTCCTTGCTAATCTCAACCTAATCCCCGATTTAAATACACACACACACAAAGCATGTGTTTGTATGTGCGTGGTATGTAGTCCTGAGTTTTAAAACTAGATCCTCTTGTTAGGGAAATGTAGTCAATCACTCTCACCTTTGTCCACAAAAAAGTTCAGACCGACCAAAAGAAATATAAAGCATGGAAATTAAACAAAAATGACATTACTATTAAATTTATAAATTTTATCTAGGTTTTATTTTCCAGCTTGAAAATAATGCGCTACTTTTTAAACAGTTTAAGGAAGGCATTAAAACTCAAAACCCAACAAGGCCCAGGTCAGTAACCTAAATGAGTAAAGCAGGCCTAGTATAAAAATAAGAACAATGCGCGTCTCAGTGAACCGAAGAATGCAGTGCCCTGTAGAGACAGAAATTCTAGCGTTAGCCTCCAGACATCGCCACGAGACTTAAACCTAGAAACACAGATTTACGTATTAGATAACAAGTTTACGCAGTCTAAGTCCTACTGAGAAAGTTGTTTAGTTGACCTTTACTAAAATAAAGTGAAATAGTTGAAATCTAAGGTTTAAGAAATATTAGCAGGTTACTAATAAATAAGAAACTATTCGAGATATGTGCTTCATACCAGGCAGGAATATATATGTCCAATTCTCATACTTTTTTATCCAAGTAATTTGACATCGCTTACTGTCCATCTCCTTCAAACTAGACCCTCGCCCCCGGAGGAGGAACCTACTACTATAGCCCCAACTCCAACCAAGTAGGGCCTTGCATGTGACAAATAGTCACTAACATTATGTGAATTAATTTAGTGAATATCAAAATAAACGCTTACTATAAAACAGCTGATGGTATACCACTTAATCAGTTGTTCTGGAATTAACACGTAAAGTGCATTTTATTTCACGCAGACTGAAGCAAACCAGGTAAGCTCTTCTCTTCCTTTTGAATTTCTTTATTATTTGTTTATAAGGGGAAGATGCATTCAGAAATTATATCAGGCATTATGAATTTATATGGGTCTACTGCAAGACCTATCATTACCTTATATCAGTGGTTCTCAAAGTGTGATGCCCAGAACGGTGGCAGTAACATCTAAACTTGTAAATGCCAACTGCCAGGCCCTCACCCAAAACTACTGAATCAGAGGAGATGTGGAGGTTTGGAGAGGAGCTGGGAGTGACTCACAATACAGGAAAACCTGTTTACCAAGCCCTCCAAGTGACTCCTACACCTGCTCAAGTCTGAAACCCACTGCCGAATGCTCCTCCAGCAGCTCAGAATGGCCAGGGTCACAGGTGTATTCTGAACTACATGTAGAGTCAAATAAAGGTGTAAATGTATCAAAGAAGAAAGGTAAAAGAGCAGCTATGACCTGTTTTTATATCAAAGACTCCTTAACTTTATATTCTTCCATGTCTCTTTTCTCCCCACCAAGAACCCGGTCTTCATTCAGAGTTGACTCCTTAAGAACACAGCAAAGGTAGGGCTCCTGGGTTGCTCAGTGGGTTAAGGATCGGACTTTGGCTCAGGTCATGAACTCAAAGTTCATGGGTTCAAGCCCTGCATCAGGCTCTGCCCTGACAGCGTGGAACTGGCTTCAGATTC